ATAAGACATCCTCCGAAAATAAGACCTAGCGCATGGAAAAATAAGACATCCCCTGAAAATAAGATCTAGCGCATCTTTGGGAACAAAAATTAATATAAGACACTGTCTTATTTTTGGTGAAACAGGATAGTAGTGTATCAGAGATGACCTCATCTTAAACATTTAGCAGCATTAAGATCATTTTAAAAATCTATCTGAGCCCTAGCTGATTTGGCTCAGTGGATAGAGCACCGATCTGCAGACTAAAGAGTCCCAGGTTCATTTCCAATCAGGGCCCATGCCTGGGTTGTGGGCTCCATCCTCAGTGATTCTCTCTCATTGGTGTTCTTTCTCTCTCTCTCCCTCTCTCCCTCCCACCTTCTCTCCCTCCCTCCCCCCCCCCTCTCTCTCTCTCTCTCTCTCTCTTTCCTTCTCTCTTCTCCCTTCCCCCTCTTCTTTCCTCTCTAAAATCAATTATTTATTTATTTATTTATTTATTTATTTATTTATTTATTTAAAAAATCCATCTGAGAGCCTAACTTTTCCAGGCTGTTCTTCTTCACATGGATCTGTGGTGTGTTCTTTTGCCTGGGGCTGAGTTATGGCATGTATGTATCAGTTACATAGTTCTTCCTCCCCTAGAATCATAGATTATTCTCCTGTTGGGCAGATTCTTAAACAATTGAATAACCATACTTAAAATAGAAAGTTTTTATAATAACCTTAATCTTTAGCACTTAATATGATGTTATTTTTAAAAATATTTTTTATTGATTTCAGAGAGGAAGGGAAAGTGAGAGTGAGAAACATCAATGATGAGAGAGTCATTGATCATCTACCTCCTGTATGTCCCCCACTGAGGATCAAGCCCACAACTTGGGCATGTGTCCTGATCAAGAATTTGGACCGTGACTTTCTTTTCTTTCCTTTTTTCTTTTTCTTTTCTTTTAAAATATATTTTATTGATTTTTTTACAGAGAGGGATAGAGAGTTAGAAACATCATGAGAATCATCTATCAGCTGCCTCTTGCACACCCCACACTGGGGATGTGCCCGCAACCAAGGTACATGCCCTTGACCGGAATCGAACCCGTGACCCTTCAGTCCGAAGGCCAATGCTCTATCCACTGAGCCAAACCGTTTTCGGCCGGACCGTGACTTTCTGATTCATAGGCTGATGCTCAACATATAAGCCATGCCAGTGGGGCAGGACTGGGTATTTAAATTTACTTCACGCTTAGTTAAAAAGTAAGAAAAGATACAATGTAGGTTACATTACAGGAAGTATGGCATCCAGATTAGAAAAGGTAGTAGCTCTAGTCTATGCTAATCAGTTTTTATAGACTCATACAGTGATTTTGTACCAGGGACTGAACCCGATGCTAGGGTACGAAGCTGAGAGATATGGCCCATTTGTAGTAAAATTCTAGGGAAATGATAATAGGCTCTATGAAAAGCTGGAAGAAGGGGATCCAGGCCCTAGACCACAGAGGCTGGGTCAACATTTAAGCAGGAGGTGAGCACAGGCTGGAGAGATGGGGCTTCACCAGCCATGAGACCTTGTACAAATCATTTAACCTCACACTGTCTCATCATAGTCTTCATGTTTAAAAGGAAGTCAAGGGAAAAAAAGAAATCAGTAGCAATGTATTTCACACAGTTGTCCTAAGCATTAATGCAGTGATGTATATATGGGAAGCCTCTAGAGTGGATGCTGGCACACAGTAGTAACTCAGGAAATGGTGTGAAATCCCATTTTGAAGTGTTAAGAGGTTGTCCCATCAGACAGACTTCCCAACTGAAGGAATGGTGTACACCAAAGCGGGGGGAATTAAGCTGGGCCTTTTGGGGACTGCAGAGTATTTCATGATTGGAGTGAGGGGTGCTTGGGGTGAGTTGCTAAGATAAAACTGGGAAGGGAGACTTCTGTTTGGAGACTTGGGAGCTTTGTGCCATGTTGAGGAATCTGAGAGGCATTTATGAAGCGTCCTGGGGTCTTTGAAGGTCTGAAGTTGAAGGGGGGTGTCCAGACCAGTTTCACCAGTTGATAGACTGGTTTGTTGTAGATGTGTGGAGGGGGAAGGGAGCTGCTTGAAGTAGGCTCTGGGTGAGAGCAGTGGTGCTCAGCCCTGGCTGCCCTGGGAACCACCTGGAGAACTTTAAAGGGTATGGTGGCCACGTTGCCTCTATATCAGTGACATCAGCAGCCCTGGGGGTAGGACCCAGGCATTGCTTCCCAGACAGTTCCACTGCACAGCCAGAGTTGTAAACTATGGCAATTACATTCAAAATCAGATTTGATAAAGTTCCCAATTAAAGAAGTGCTCACCTATTAAAGGATCCAGGGTAGAATGATAAGTCTGATATGGGTGGCCAGCTGATTGAGGAAGTGGTTGGTTATTTCTGGAATGGGTCTCTGGGTGGATGTTGATCCATGCTCAGTTGTATACCAAGACTGAGAATGTGAAAGAGAAGCAGATTTGGGTCTGAGGCTTTATTTAGTGAGCATGAGAAAGATAATGTGATTTTAAAATGTGGATATCGAGGGAAAATGATACCCAACAAATGGGCAGAGAGGGAAACTGAAGAGGAGGAGCCTCAGGGGGAAGAGAGTACCTAATTGATGACTAAGATGCTTAAGAAGACTGGAAGTGTAGAGCAGACATGAAGGAAGTAATTTATATGAGAATTTCCACTCAGAGAGACATAAGTAAAAGTATGTGAGGGTGCAGATAGGTCACAGGTTGAGGAGGAAGGGCTGTCAGTCTGATGGTCTGTTACCCTTTTCTGTAGGGGACATGAGACAGGAGGTGAAAGAAGGGGATTAAGGAGTATGAACGAGTTTAGCGAGCTGAGGAAGGGGCTAATGAGGAAAAAATTGTCTTTGTAGCCCTGCTCTTAAATGTTTATTTTCCCTCAGAGTTTCAGGATTGGCTCTCCTTCACATACATACTTACTGGCTTGGGCAGGGGCTAATGCTTTGATATCATAATTTAAAATTTAAAATGTTGAAATCACTTGAAAATCCCACAATTTCTAACATTCATAACCTATGTAGCATCATATTTTTTTCTCTATTGTAATGAAAAATCAAAAAACAACAGGATATTTTGAAAATATGTTAACTTTTAGTAAATGCCGAAACCAGTTTGGCTCAGTGGATAGAGCATTGGCCTTCGGACTGAAAGGTCCCGGGTTTGATTCCAGTCAAGGCATGTACCTGGTTGCAGGCACATCCCCAGTAGGGGGTGTGCAAGAGGCAGCTGATGGGTGTTTCTCATCAGTGTTTCTAAATCTCTATCCCTCTCCCTTCCTCTCTGTAAAAAATCAATAAAATATTTTTTTTAAAAATTCTAATATGTTTTCTATTTTTTTTTTTAAATGTCTAATAAAGATCCAACTGAATTTCTCAATTCTGATATAAACTACTAGAGGCCCGGTGCAGGAAATTCCTGCACTTGGTGGGGGTCCCTCAGCCCATCCTGCATGCTCTCGCAGTCCGGGAGCCCTCAGGGGATGTCTGACTGATGGCTTAAGCCTGCTAAGCTGTCAGTTGGACAGTCTTAGTGCTGCCTCTGAGGTGGGACTGGCTCCTGCTACCACTGCTTCGCTTGCTACCGTGTTCCCCTGAAAATAAGACAGTGTTTTATATTAATTTTTTCTCCCAAAGTTGCACTAGGTCTTATTTTCAGGGGATGTCTTATCTTTCCATGTGCTAGGTCTTATTTTTTGGGGAAACACGGTAGCCATGAGCCCAGCTTCTGGCTGAGCAGTACTTCCCCTGTGGAAGCGCACTGACCTGCGTTGGGTATCTGCCCCCTGGTGGTCAGTGTGCATCATAGCAGCCAATCATTCTGATGTTTGGTCAATTTGCATATTAGTCTTTTATTATATAGAACTAGAGGCCCGGTGCATGAAATTTGTGCATGGCGGGGGGGGGGGTGATTTCCCTCAGTCTAGCCTGCACCCTCTCCAATCTGGGACCCTTGAGGGATGTCTGACTACCCTAATGGATGTCCAACTGCTCCTGCCAACCTGTTTGCCCCCCAACTCTCTCCTCTGCCAATCTGGTCACCCCTAACTGCCCTTCCCTGCAGGCTTGATTGCTCCCAACTGCCCTTCTTGTGTGTTGGAATGATGGTCAATCTGCATATTACTCTTTTATTAGATAGGATAGAGGCCTGGTGCGGGTGCATGGGTGGGTGCCAGCTGGTTTGCCCTGAAGGGTGTCCCAGATCAGGGTGGGGATTCCCTTGGGGCATAGGGCAGCCTGGGCAAGGGGCCTGGGATGGTTTGCAGGCCGGCCATGCCCCCTGGTGACCCAAGTGGAGTCCCTGGTATCTGGGATATATTTATCTTCTATAATTAAAACTTTGTAGCCTGGAGTGGAGGCCTAGGCCCACCTGGGCAGGTGGAAAACTTGGCTTTCTCCATTGCCAGGGGCATCTCTAGCCTGTTCTCTCCAACTCCTTGGCTGCCATCATTTTTGTTAGGTTTTATCTTCTATAATTGAAACTTTGTAGCCTTAAGCAGAGGCCTGGGCTGGCCAGAGTGCACAGAAAGCTTGGCATCTCCTGTCACCAGGGAAACCCAAGCCTCCCTCCTGTTATCTCCATGGCTGCAGCCATCTTGGTTGGGTTAATTTGCATAATTGCTCCTGGTTGGCTGGGGGGTGGGGCGTGGCTGGGGGTGTAGTGGAGTGATTGTTAATTTGCATATTGCTCTTATTAGATAAAGGATGCTTTGTATTATATATTCTCTAAATATTTTTTCCTCCATAAAACCAACTAAACATCCAGTAGTTAATTGCCAGAGTGAATTGTTAATTTTACAGATTTCCTATTCAGCAGAACTAATGTATTCACTACAACAAAGCAATTGTTGATATGGCTTTTCAGTAAGCCTTCTTGTTTATAATTTAAATTATGAAGTACTTAGTCAAAACTGGGATTAGGACCATGGGGTTAGAAAGTGGCCTTGATATTGCAGAACATTAACCCAGTGTTTTGATATTATTTCAGGTAACATTTCATTGGTTGCTTTTCCAGTTTCCAGCACCAACTCACCAACAAAGATTTTACCAAAAACCCTAGGACCAATAAATGTGAATGTTGGACCCCAAATGGTAAGAAAACCATCAAATCTTAGAATTTAAAAATTGATTAAATATGGATGGTCACATATTCTAGTTAATTTCTCATCTCAGTAATTTTTTAAAGATTATTTTTATCTGAATGTAACTGATTAAATCTTGAGAAAAAGAAAGGCACTCTTCAGTGTTTAATTTTACAGGTTTGACTCTGGGTTCTGGGTGTATAATTAGGTTTGCTCTTTATGTGAGGCTTTTCTTCTCATTGTTTGGTTAAATTGACTTAACATCTGTTATGTTTTATGTTCTCTTCAGGTTATTTCTTATAAAATAATTTTTACCACCCTAACCTATGTACTCATATAAATTCAACATGACCCATTACTTAATCTCTGTCTGGAGCTATTAATTTGAAATCTTTTATTAAAGGACATTTGGGGGAAAACGACATGCCAATTCATTTAAATTTTTAACAGAAATAATGGATGAAAAATATTTAACTTTCTCTGTAAGTAGTTCATTAATTGTATTAGAGCTTGAAGTACATAGCACTTTTTAAAGAATATATATTTTTTATTGATTTTTACAGACAGGAAGGGAGAGGGATAGAGAGTTAGAAACATCCATCAGCTGCTTCCTGCACACCCTCCACTGGGGATGTGCCCGCAGCCAAGGTACATGCCCTTGACCGGAATTGAACTTGGGACCCTCCAGTCCACTGAGCCAAACCGGTTAGGCTAGATAGCTCTTTTAAAAAGCCTTATTTATAAACAAAGACTCATACAACTACTCTAAAAACCATACCAAATTTGCCCTGGCCAGTGTGGCTCAGTTGGTTTGGTGTTTTCTCGGGCACCAAAAGTTCACCAGTTTGATTCCTGATCAGGGCACAAGCCCAGGTTGGGGGCTCAGTTCCCAGCACAGGGACATACAGGGGACAGCCAATTGATGTTTCTCTCTTTCTCCCTCTCCCTCTCTCTAAAATCAATAAAAACATATTTTTTTAAAACTCATGCCTAATTTAAATGGCTTCACGCACCATTAACAAAAGTGCATAAACATTTTAACAACTCTTCATTGTCAGTGCTTACTGTACATATTCTCTATAGAGCAACAAAGATAAGATTTGCCCACAGTATACAGCCTTATGGGGTATGTTAAACACAAAATCATTTAGACAAAAATACCTTTTAACATACTTAATGGCTCCAGAAAGTCTTACAGTTTTTAAGACATTCTAGACATGACATTTTCCCTGATTGCTTGAGGGCTGTTAATTATCTACAGAATCCAAGCCAAAGACCTTACACAATTTACTATAACTATGTGAAGAATGTGATCTAGCTCCAAACTTCATAGAGACTTGAGCTCAGGTAAGTGTTCCCGTTTCAAGGCAGTTCAGGGGATATTTTCCAACATTTGCTCAGCATTTGCCTCTCCAGCCACTACAGTAGGTACAAGTGAGATAAGACACTTGCCTTTAAAGTCTGTATTTTGAAAGGTGATAATATAAGCACCAAAATTAAACAAACATACCAGAACTCTTATGTGTTTGCCAAAAGTCAGTGGCATGTTGTTTTCCCCCTACAGTCCTCCTCTGGTTTTGGGATACTATTTTTTATTAGTATTTTAGTGTGCGCTATGGCTCAAGTTCAGGTTTCTCTTCTGGAGACATGTAATTTCTCTTTCCATTGTTAGTTTTTACCAATGTACATGGAAGTCTTTACACACTCCAGTTCTGACGGTAAGTAATCAGGTTACTGTAATCAGGTATACATACTTCTTACCCAGTTACTGTAGAATCAGCAAAAAAAGGTCAGAAGGAGAGGAGATCTAGGGCTCTCCTTTAAGCCATGGCAGCCCAAGGCCTTTATTTGTCTCCCTAATTCTTTTTGCAGTTCTTGGGACTTGGACCGGAATCAGAGTTTTTGTTATGATTTCCTAATTAATGTAGAACTCCAATTAGAGCCATTTCTTTCTTCTCCTCTTGCTTGCTTCTTGTGAACATTGTCCTTTCACCTTCAATATTTCATTCATGATTATTAAAAAGTGTTTAGTAAGAAATTAGTGAATAAAACTTAATTTCTTATTACAGCAAATTTAAATTTCATGTCTTTTTGGAAGCCAAATCTTAATGTAGATAGAAATTTCAAAAGGCCTGAGAAAAAAGTTGTGTTCTGTATTTATAGAAACTAGCAGTAACTGTTTTGTTTTGGGATACTTGCCCTTTTCCTAAAGGTTTCTGCTTATATATGTAAGCTACTCTTATGATTATCTTTATTTTAATGTGATTAACACTGCATGATTCTTATATTGAAAACTAAGATTTTGTAAAATAATGGAATCCTTGTCTTGGCTGGTTTGTCTCAGTGTATAGGGTGTCAACCTGCAGACTGAAGGTTCAATTCGCAAGTTCGATTCTGTTCAAGGGCACGTACTTTGTAGGCTCCATCCCCAGTCCAGGTTTCTCTCTCTCTGTCTCTCCCTCTCCCTCCACTCTCTAAAAGTCAATGGAAAAATATCCTCTTATGAGGATTAACAACAACAAAATGGGATTCTTTTAACATTTTGTAATTATATAGCTTTTTTTCTCCTTCAAAATATACGTTCCCTTGGCCTTTCTTAACTGTAGATGGCAGTAGTACATAAGATACACATTGATTGAATGTGGAAAATCTCTAGAATGAGATTCAATCGCTGTATGATTTCCATTGGGTAACTGTAATCTATTGTAAAAAGAAACCACAATTACATTTAAATTAAGGTTGTCTCTTAATTTAAATATTTAAATATTCATTTTCCTAATCAGATCAACTGAATAGTAGAAGTAGTTACCTCTTATCTTTCATTTTAATTTGGGATTTCAAAATTAAGCTTCAGGTTTTTTTTGTGTGTGTTTTTGTTTTGTTTTGTCTTGTTTTGTTTTGTTTTTAAATATATTTTATTGATTTTGTACAGAGAGGAAGGGAGAGAGATAGTCAGAAACATCAATGAGAGAGAGTCATCGATCAGCTGCCTCTTGCACACCCCCCACCGAGGATATGCCCGCAACCAAGGTACATGCCCTTGACCGGAATCGAACCCGGGACCCTTCAGTCCCCAAGCCGACGCTCTATTCATTGAGCCAAACCGGTCCCGGCAAGCTTCAGTTTTATCAAGTGTGTTTGACTCATCACCTACATAGTTTTCCTATGTTTAATGGTTGATCAGTTCTGTTGACTTACCTTTGGTTTTTTGTTTTTTTTAAAATTTTATTTCTTTATTGATTTCAGAGAGGAAGGAAGAAGGAAAGAGAGATAGAAACATCAATGATGAGAGAGAATCATTTATTAGCTGCCTCCTGCATGCCTCCTACTGGGGATCAAGCCCACAACCCAGGTATGTGCCCTTGGCCGGAATCGAACCTGGGACCCTTCAGTGCACAGGCTGACGCTCTATCCACGGAGCCAAGCCGGCTAGGGCTGGTTTTGTTTCTTAAAACTCACTGTCCTAGTTTAAGAACTCATTGCATCTCACATGAACTTCTAACTTGTCTTTCCAGTTCAAGTCCATCATCTTCAATTTGTTCATTCAGGAATTGTTTATTAAGGATTTACTGTGTGTATCAGGCCCTTTGCTAAGAGAAGGGAACAGAGTATTGCTAATTACTCTCAGATCAGAAGAAAATATCTGACAATCCGACAAAGAGGGAGAAAAAAAAAAACTAGAACATAGAAGTTAATTTCCGAAGTCATTCTCATTAATGATAACCATGTTTTCCTATGCTTGTTTCTCTTCCTTCTTGCTTTTTTTTTTTTTCTACAAAGCCCTTTAAATCAAGCAAAACCGAGCCTGTAGGTTTTATTAATAACAAATACAGAGAAAGAACTCCTTAGTAATAAAACTGCACAAGTAATGCAGTCTGTTTTGAGGGTAGATTGGAACACATAGAATTGCTTTTTGGACTCCCCTGTTCTTGAAAGGGTAGACCAGAGACTGTTCAAATACTCAAATTTTCCTCCTTAAGCTGTCACACTCAGTGTCAGTTTGATAGAGGATATTTGAATGTGTGATCTAGTGATTGGTGAAAACTGTCTTTTATATTGTAGAGTACTTTTCTTATTGGATTTTATATAGTCCTTTCTAGCACATCAGTAAATAAAGAAGCTACTTTTCCCCCCATCATTTTAAAAGCTGGGTCTTTCCTCTCAGTTCACTAAGTATTTATTGTACTTTCCTGTGAGCACTGTGCTAGGCCCTGCAAACATTTTTTCTGTTCTTGAAGATCTTGCCCTGAATTAGAGGTGTGGAGGTGGGATGGGGTTCATGGAGGGGTAGGAGGTCCAAACACATTGTCTAGATTTTATATTTTCACACAAGGCAAATTTCTGAATGCCCTGTTTGATCATCATTGGCTTATTGTAGAGAATCAGAATTCTCTAGACATCTTATCCTTGTTTATTATCTTTTGTTTTTATTTATTGATTTTAAAGACTGAGGAAGGGATAAGGAGAAAGTGAGGAACATTGATGTGAGAGAGAAACATCAATCAGTTGCCTCCTGTATGAACCCTGACCAGGAGCAAACCTGCAACCTGAGTGTCTGCCCTTACCGGGAATCGAACCTGTGGCCTTGCAGTGTATGGGATGAAACTCCTGTCAACTGTGTCACACTGGCCAGGGCCCAAGGAGCTTTTTTTTTAAAAGACCATGTTCTGTCCTGGCCGTGTGACTTGGTTGAGCATTGGACCATGCACCAAAAGGTCTCTGGTCAGGGTACATGCCCAGGTTGCAGGTTCAGTCCCCAGTCATGCGGAGGCAACAATCGATATTTCTCTCTCACATCAATGTTTCTCTCTCTCCTTATCCCTTCCCCTTTCTCTAAAATCAATAAAAACATGTTTTTAAAAAGCAATAAATACCCTAGCCAGTTTGGCTCAGTGGATAAAGTGTTGGATTGCAGACCAAAGGGTCCTGGGCTCAATTCCAGTCAAGGGCATGTAATTCAGTTACAGGCTCCTCCCCTGGCCAGGGCTCATGCAGGAGGCAACCAATCCATGTGCTTCTCCTGTCTTTCCCTCTCTTCTTCCACTCTCTAAAAATCAATGGAAAAATATCCTTGGGTGAGAATTAGAAAAGAAAAAGAAAAAAAAACACAATAGACGAAAAGTCCATATCTTTAGTTCCATTAATTTCTTTCCTGAAATCTATCCTTAGCAAACAGAAATTAAGGCCAAGATCATTGTACAAGAATGTTTATCCCAGCATTGTTTATAATAGTAAATAATTGAATATCCATATATCTAATAGGGAATAATAAATTTACATGATGGAATGTTTTACTGATATATTTAAAGAATATATTATTAAAATATTTAATGACATGAGAACTTGCTCTTGAAAAAAAAAGAGAAAGAGATTAAGTTGCATCTGTATACTAATCCAAATTGTGTAATGTTTTTGCCTATATTTTGGACTGTGAAGATCTGATTTACTGTTATCCAGTTGTAGTAAATCAAGCTTGACTGGAATTAGATTCTGTAATTGCAAAGAAAGCCTTTCATTTTTCTGGTTTTTAAAACATTGTCAGTTGCCAGCTAATCCTTCCAAATTGCTCTTCACTTGCTGAAACCTGCATTATGACCTCATGGCAGTATAAGATCTTAGGATATAAATGAATCAGAGGTATTGCTTATGTTTAAGATGATTGAGCATTTTAAACAATAAGGTTTCCTCCTTGTAAGGTTAGCAGTCAACATTATTTTGTGCCTGTAGGCTTTTCATAATAACTAAGAATATTATTTTCTTTGTCCTCACTTCACAGATTATAAGCACACCTCAGAGACTGACCAGTTCAGGAAGTGTTCTGATTGGGAGTCCATACACCCCAGCACCAGCAATGGTCACTCAGACACACATAGCGGAAGCTACTGGCTGGGCCCCAGGGTAAGAGTGTTGTTACAAGTTACCATTTTTAAAAATTAAAAAAAGTTCTGACCTTTTTTTCTTAGGATCTTGTCTTCTGTTCTTGTTTTATGTTAGTCTAGTCCTTAAAAACGAATACACTTCCTTTAAAATACCTATTTTATTTCATTTCATATCTTAAATATAATCCATTTATGGAGCAACCATTTTAAAACAGAGAAAAACGTTATAATAATAACTTGTACCTGAATCTTTTTACTTTTTTTCAACTCTGAAAGAGAACTACTTTTTATTAATGGCATTTAGCTGCTTTAAAGATGTCAAAACTATACTTTATATTGTTAACAAATGAAAGATAGATTAAGTATTGGTTATACTGAGAATTTCCCTTATGAGTTCTTGTTTCCTTTAAAAAAAAATCAGAAAAGGAACTAGGGAAAAATATATTAAAATTTTCATTGAGCCAAAACCGGTTTGGCTCAGTGGATAGAGCATTGGCCTGCGGACTGAAAGGTCCCGGGTTTGATTCTGGTCAAGGGCAGGTACATTGGTTGCAGGCACATCCCCAGTAGGAGGTGTGCAAGAGGCAGCTGGTCGATGATTCTCTCTCATCGATGTTTCTAACTCTCTATCCCTCTCTCTTCCTCTCTGTAAAAAATCAATAAAAAATATATTAAAATTTTCATTGAGTTTTCCCTTGATTCTTTTGAAACATTGGGCAATTAAATCAATATTTCCTCTATGTTATTCAGTTGCCGCTGTTAGTATCAAACCTTCACATCTTTATAAAATACTTACCCAACCTTTCTCCTTTGCTTATCATTTTAACATTTCATCTTTCCATAAAATAAAAGGAAATAGTAAAATTAATGACTCAAAACTTTATTCTGTTACTTTAAAAATTATTTAAATTATTATTTAAATACTGCATGGGTAGTTCCATCTTTGACTTACAACTGTGAGTTCTAGCAAGGAGACAATAAATCTTGATTGAGTAAGAATTCAAGAATATTAAATGAGCCTGGCAAGTATGGCTCAGTGGTTGAAGCTCCAGCCTATGAACCAGGAAGTCACGGTTTGATTTCCGGTTGGGGCACACGCCCGGGTTTGGGCTCCATCCCCAGTTGTGGGGGCCTGCAGGAGGCAGTTGACCAATGATTCTTTCTAATCATTGATGTTTCTTTATCACCCTCTCTCTGAAATAAGTAAAAAAATATATTTTAAAAACGAATATTAAATGAATTAATGAAATAACAGCCCTGGCAAAGTGTTTTAAGCCATATATTGTACATATATTCAAGAGACAGAAGAGTATCATATGTAGTCATACTTTTTCATTATCAAATGAGATGACATGACAATCACCTGTAATTTCATGGCCTTTTGGACATTCTTGTGAACATTCTCAGGTAGATATAAAAGTTACCTTGGATTTCTGCATAGCCCTGAGAGGTTATAACATGAAAGCTTGCCTAGGCCAGTGGTTTGGAGATGACCAGGGTTTGGATATTTCCAGCTTCAGCTGTGCTTTATGTTGGAGATGGTATGACTGTCGTGTTTTTATAGTCAGTCATTCCAGAGTAAATCAAATTTCTCTGTGCCTTTTCTTTTGGGAACCTGTAATATTTTCTCCTTAAAGATTCACTGAACGCTTTTCAAACTAGGTTATCCTATTGTGATTTCTTGGTCCTTTGGTAAAATTTAAGTTTTGTTTTTTTGGTTTTTTTTTACATACCTTTTATAGTTGTTAGTTTTTGTGTTTGGCTATATATGTTGTGGAATTAGACAAGTTACAATAAATTATTCATGAAATAAAATAGTGTTTATATGTTCTTTTATGCTTTTTTCTTTTTAGTGATAGAAAACGGGCTAGAGAATTTATAGACTCTGATTTTTCAGAAAGGTGAGTATGAGTGTATTTTGTTTGGGAGATGCTATTACATAAAGTTTTGGTACCCAGACTCTAGCTTAAGATAGTGAAATTTGTTCAATCACACCAATTTAATAACTTTATTGAGTTTCTACCATTATTCTATACCACACACTGAGTAGTTGACCTGTCTTACATAAATTTAGTATTATGTTTTTATTTTCATGGTTCCAGAAGTGAATAGATTGGCTATTGGTAATATGTCATTTAGCTCCCTCCCTCCTTTTGAGAAGTGCAGTGTTCTACCAAGGTGAACACTCCACCTGACCTCAGCATGCCCAAACGTTTTAAAAACAGATTTGATTGAGCACATTTAAAGATCATAGTAAAGTCTCACTTCTTTTTCTAAATAATACATGGAGTATAATGTGACCTTTCTTTAGACTGTTAGGACAGTGGTTCTCAGTTCTTGATGTGCCTCCGAATCCCCTGCGGTTTGTTGAAAAATACAGATGCCTGCCTACCAAGTGAGAAACTCCAGGATTAGAAACTCTCACTTTAGTCTACGGCCATACCACCCTGAACACGCCCGATCTCGTCTGATCTCGGAAGCTAAGCAGGGTCGGGCCTGGTTAGTACTTGGATGGGAGAAACTCTCACTTTACTGTCATTATTTGAGCTTAAGTTCAATATTCCATGCAAGTCACTACACGAGGTAGAATATTAATGTTGCACTGTTAAAATAGGATGCATAGTCTTAGAGGTAGTTGAATTCTGTACGATTGTTACTATTTTAAATAAAACCTGGCCTGTTACACTTTTAAAAATTTATTTTTGGTTTTAAGATTTTTTAATTTCCATTTTCAGTGGTATTTCAGTTTCCTTTGTCCTGTTAGGTCATCTTTTCTCAATATAATAGTTTTCTGTCTTTTCCATTTTTTAGTTTGCTATCTCCAACTTGCTAGGCAACGAGGTGGCCAGTTGTGTTAGAATTCAGTCTAAAATAAAAGTGAATAGGCTCTGAGTGAGGACCTCGGGGCTATATAGTCTAAAAGTGTGCTTTCTTGCATTGACACTGGCTTTGCTTTAGTTCCTAGGTGGCTTTTGTTGCTTGCTTCTTGGCTCTTAACTGTTTTTGAACACAAAAATCATGCCTGAGGAACTGCTGTATCGTGTAGAAATATGTAGCAACATGTTCTTTTCTCTCTAATGGAAATTCCTCTTTCCAAACTCATACTGTCTTTGTGTGTATCCTAGGAAAGGGTAGCAGTGTAAATTCATATAGATATATTTAGCAATGTTTGAGGCCGTAAAATAGGACTTGTTATTAGTTATGATTGGTGGCACCTGTGTACTACAAACAGTATAAACAATAAGATTCTCTCCATATTCTCCTTCATAAGAAAAAGATCTCTGAAGATCACATTAAAAGTGCTAGATTAAATTAGTAAGTGTAACCATTGATTCAGCTTTCCCTTTCTGCATCTGGGTTCAGTGGCATTTTGGGGAGTGAGGGTTGTGCTTTTTATTATTCTCTTATTTTTAAATATAACCACAAGCATTACTACATGTGGCTTTTATTGCTGTTCATACAAATGTTTCTTTTCCTCCAAATTTATTGTATTTTTCTGTAACGCTGTGAAAAGTTTTGTTTCCCGCCCCCCCTCCCAACACCTCCAGTGTTTAGGTGAAAAAAGCCAGCTCTCAATCATAGACTAATTTTTATCTCTCCAATGTCTGGTATGCTGATTTAGTATGATATGTAAATATTTCTATTGGTTTTCCTCAGGAATTTATACATCAATATATGTAGATATATATAAGCTCTTTTTAAAAAATATATATTTTTATTGATATCAGAGAGGAAAGGAGAGGGAGAGAGAGAGATAGAAACATCAGTGATGAGAGAGAATCATAGATTGGCCGCCACCTACGTGCCCCATACTGGGGATCAAGCCTGCAGCCCAGGCATGTGCCCTAACCAGGAATCGAAACGTGACCTCTAGGTTTGATGCTCAACCACTGAGCCACGCCGGCCGGGCTATACAAGCTTCCTATTCTTACCTTATTAACAACTGTTTCTTGGTTAAGGCCATTTGCAGAAGCAAGTCCGTTTCTGAAGAAATCTTGTTTAATGGGTGAAGGATGCATTGAAATATACTCATTAGTTTTCCCCTATATTCTCATCCACTGGAGTTCTTTGCACAGAGCTTGCAGAAGGAGCTATGAAAACCCTCTTTCTGGTCTTGCATGGGGTTTTGATCCTAGAAGATGTTTGTTCACTTTCTCTTTTTACCTTTGGACAGAATCTGATGATGTCTCCTAAATCTCTTTTCCAAATAGGTCTGCTTTTGCTTTGGGATTTCTACTGGGGAAGGAAAGTCCTTAATATTTTTTTTTTTCCTGTTGGAATTCAGTTAAAATGTTCTTTATTTATAATAAATTAATATAATTTAAACTATACTACACTAATAATAAGAATAAAAATCTGTATAGTTAAAAACAAATATCATTTTAGACTGTGATAGTTGGCACACACAAAACATAAGGGGATTATTGGCAGGATGGTGGCTGCCTTAGAGCAGGCCTCTCTAAGGAGATAACATTTGAATGCAAAGAAGTCAAGCATGTAGCTAGCCTGATCATGGTGGGGAGCCAGAGATTCAGGCAGAGGGAAATGAGGAACTAGGTTGGAGTGTTTGGGGAAGCAGAGTGGCTTGGAGATAGTAAGAAAGGCAGAGTATTATGAGACTAGGGGCCCAGTGTATGAATTTGTGCACCTTAAAAGGAATTGTGGGCCTCAAGGCTACGGTGGGCACAGGGGCAAGTCTCAGCCCATCCTCTGTGCCCCCACCCTGCACCTCCTGCCGAGGCCCCTGTCTGCTGGCAGTCCCACTCCTACATGCTGATGGTGCCGGCCCCCGTAACACCTGCTGACTGTGCAGAGCAAGTAGGCTGGCGCCAGCAGCAGGTACAAGCGGGGCCAACACCTCCAGTGGGTGTGAGTGGCAGCTGCTGCCCCGATCGCCCCTCAGGAACGGGGGGGAGGGGTGGAGAAGCCTATAGGAGCGATCAGGGCTGCCAGGCTGCCAGCCACCACATGCACCCACTGATGGCACCGAGCGATCAGGATTGGTGCTAGGCGCCAGCAGCAGGTGTGAGCAGGGCCGGTGCTGGCAGTGGATGCGAACTGCAGCTGCTGGGCCTGATTGCCCATCAGGAGCACAGGGAGGTGGAGAAGCCCTGAGAGACTTTTGGGGCCTGTAGCAGCCACTCACACCCACTGATGGCGCTGAGCGATTGGGGCTGGCACTGGGCACCAGCAGTGGGTGCAACTGGGACCAGCGCCGGAAGCAGATGCAAACACCAGGCGGGACCATGGTGCTTGGTACCAAAGAATTTTCAGTAACTGGGACCCCTTGCTCCTTATTGCCTGCCTGCAGCAGAGGTGGGAGAGGCTCCTGCCACTGCCAGTGTACTCACCAGCCATGAGCCCAGGCTTCTGGCTGAGTGGTGCTCCCCATGTGGGAGCGCACTGACCACCAGGGGGCAGCTCTGTGCTGAGCATCTGCCCTCTGGTGGTCACTGTGCATCATAACAACCGGTCGTTCCACCGTTTGGTTGGTTTGCATAGTACGCTTTCATTATATAGGATAGGATAGTTTACCAATGTTGATATTTAACCATAGTTCTCCTCAAGTTTATTATCAATACATGCACTGAACTAATCTTATAAAAGTTTTATATGTAATCTTGTTTTTATGTTTCAGGAGTATGTTCATCAGCACTTAAAGTTTAGCTGTTCCTATTTAAGGACTGTGTTTCGCCTTTTCTTTAAATACTACCCATGTATGACTACAGAGGACAAATTAGCCAAACTACCCTATGATTATTTTATTGCTCCCTTTTTAAAAATAATAGAATTGCATGAAAAATAACACCATGCTTTATCACTGGCTTTTAAAAAGTATATAAACACTGAATCGAGAATTTCATTTACTTTAAGCCATTATCCAGTTCTTAGCATAAATTAAAAATCCCATACACAACATAGTTTTTTCAAAATAACTCCTGTGCTCCTATTTTTAGCAACTCTTACTTACTTTTGTCGCCTGACTTGTACGAATGATATTGACTTATGTGTGACTAGCCATTTGTATCTCCACACACCAAACTAAGGGCATATCAGCCTAGAGTGGGTTTTGTGTGGAAATGGACACAGCAAATGGGAATTGGATTCTTTTCCAAAATGAAATGACTTAGGACAGTGACATGAACAGAATGACCAGTTTGTGTGGGAAGTTCACTGTGATGGCCATGTCTGGAAGGACCAGGGTGCCTCTAGAACAGTCATGAGGTTCTTGTTAAGAACTGGATAAGGACTTAAAGTAAATAAATAAAACCACCCCCTACTAGCCTTGAAGCACTCACTCCCAGGTCTCTTTCAGCTCAGTATGCAGCATCTTAGCTGGTTTTTACATATCACTGCCTCCAAAATGGCTGTCACTAATTAACTGCTTTTCCTTTATCCAAATCAACAAGTTTTTCTGCCAATTCAGTTACCTGTGATCATTGTGTGTGTGTGTGTGTGTGTGTGTGTGTGTGTGTGTGTGTTTTCCCTCTTGATGGCCTCTACATTTTAAAATTGTGCTATTCGGTGATTTCCCCAGCAACAAAAGCATTCTCTCCTTTGTTTATTGCCGGAGAGACTCTTTGTCATGCTGAGGTATCAGCTTGAAAGGATTGTCAGTTCGAAAACCAAGTTTGGTTCCACAGCCTAGATATTTTTTTCTGTGAGCAACTGAGTGGAGATGGGAGATGCTCAAGAAACGAGGTTTGACTGTATTTTATGAACACTTTTTTCAATTAGCATTCAGTGTTTAGAATCTATTTCCTTTTATTTATTTATTTATTTATTTATTTTCAGATACTCTAATTGTCAGTATAGTCTTTGCCTCTCTTCAATATTAGTCATTTCCTCTTGAATATCAGTTGTGGGAGTTATGCAAAATGGAGTATTGTGACCTCTTTAGTCCTTATTTTGGTTCCCTTGCACACAGCTGGTATTGAAGAGGGTAAAACTCCTGGTTTCAACTGCTGCTCTCAAACTGGCCTGCTGTGCTTTCTAGTCAGTTCCTATTGGCTATTCGGGAATTACTGTTCTGATTCCCATTAAATGCAGCCCCGTTGAGTATTTCTTATTCTGCTCACTACCATGTAGGTCTTTGGCTGTTGGTATTGTATTCTGAGGTTTGTTGAGGATACCTTGTCATCTAGTTTTGCTGTAAATATTGTCATGAGGTTTGCATTTTGCTGTCTAGTTGCTCTGTTTTTATCTGGGGATTTGGAGAGTTTGAAAACTATGTTGCTGTCTTGCTATCTTCCTAGACTCCCCCCATAACTGGGGTGTGTGTGTTTAGTCTGTTTGAATATTAAATATTAAATTGACATGTCTTTTATAATCTTGGTATATAGTTGGCTCACAGATTAGCAGAACTTAACCATTCAGTTTAGTAGAACTGAAAATCTAATGATTAAGTTATCAAAGTTTAGGCCTGGGCATTACCCAAACTTGAAATAATTAGATAAGTATGACCAGTATATAAACTACGAGGGCAGGGTTTTTATCTGTTCTTCTCATGGATATTTCCCAGTATGTAGAACAATGCCTGGCACGTAACAGTCAATAACTTCTCAGTAAATATTTGTTGAATAGATGATGTGTGTAAGAGAAGCACTCTAGCTTTATATTTCATTAGGCTTTTAAGGTAAAAATTAAATTTAAAACATTTCCTCATGTCTAATTCAATTAAAGCTTACCACTTGGAACAAAAATCAAATTACTGTCTTTTCATTATTTTCTACTTTTGTAAAGGAAGTCTCTAAGTAAGTATAATGGAGTATAATATTTTCTTCTCTTAGTAAACGAAGCAAAAAAGGAGATAAAAATGGAAAAGGCTTGAGACATTTTTCAATGAAAGTGTGTGAGAAAGTTCAGCGGAAAGGCACAACGTCATATAATGAAGTAGCTGATGAGCTGGTATCAGAGTTCACCAATTCAAATAACCATTTGGCGGCTGATTCGGTAGGTAGATCATGCCCTTGACATTGACTATTATGAGTGATGCAACAGTGTACCTCTTTGGGTTATCCATATCATCAATATGAGGACTCAGACAAGCTAGGGAATTCCCAATTCCTCCTCTACTTGAAGGTTTCATATGGTTTGTTGGGAATTTTATTTAATTTATTTATTTATTTATTGTATTGATTTTATACAGAGAGGAATTGAGAGGGATAGAGAGCTAGAAACATCAAGCAGCTGCCTCCTGCACTCCCCCCACTGGAGATGTGCCTGCAACCAAGGTACATGCCCTTGACCGGGATCCCTCAGTCCACAGGCTCTATCCACTAAGCCAAACGGTTTCAGCTGTTGGGAATTTTTTGTTGTTGATTTTTTGTTTTACAAAGAATTCTTTTATTATTTATTTCAACATACAGATGAACTCTATCCACTGAGCCAAACCGGTTAGGGCTACTTCTCTTATTCTTCTCCAATATTCCCACCTTTGCTTACTGAGTTCTGGCCACTTTGGCCTGTGCTTATCCTCCAACCTCAGGATCTTTGCTCTTGCTGTGCCTTCTGCCTGCTTGGCTCTTTCCCCAAATAGCCACACAACTCACTTTCTCACCTTCTCTACATCTTTATGAAAATGCCACCTTTTTAAAAATTTATATTTTTATTGATTTCGGAGAGGAAAGGAGCTAGAGAGATAGAAACATCTATGAGAGAGAAACATCGATTGGCTGCCTCCTGCATGCCCTACACTGGGGATTGAGCCCATAACCTGGACATATGCCCTGACTGGGAATCAAACCATGACCTCCTGGTTCATCGGTCAACACTAGGCCACGTTGTTCAGGCCATTCTTGTTTTATAGAGTTAAGATTTTCCTTTTTTGTTGGTCTTCATTCCATCCTACTTTTCCATGCTCTATCTCAGTTTCATCATTCTTCTCCCTGAAGAAGGCCCTTTAGCATTTCTTAAATTTAGATCTCTAGGTAACATAATCTTTACTTTCTTCAGATTGTTCTTTACTTTTGAAGGATAGTTTCACTGGGTACAGAATGTTTTCAGCACTTTGAAGATGTTATAATAATACTGGAGGCCTGCTGCATGAATTCATGCGTGGGTGAGGTTCCTTGGCCTGGCCAGCAATTGGGGCCATCTCTCCCAGTCCTGATTTAGGCCAATGAAAATCTGGCCAGCCAGGGAGGGACTGCAGGAGGTCTCTAGGGCATGTCCTGCCCATCCCACCCAGTCCCGATCGGCTGGACCCCAGCAGCAAGCTAACCTGCCATTCAGAGCATCAGTCCCCCAGCGGTCAGTGTGTGTCATATAGACTGGTTGAGCAGTCAACCAATCGGTCAGACACATAGCATATTAGGCTTTTATATATATAGATTATTTATTAAATATTTTAATATCTTGTGACTGTTATCTTAACCCTTAACTTTTATCACTTAATAATGTATTTTTTAGCAGGCTTATGACCAGAAGAACATTAGGCGAAGAGTTTATGATGCTTTAAATGTGCTAATGGCAATGAACATAATATCAAAAGAAAAAAAAGAAATCAAGTGGATTGGCCTGCCTACGAATTCTGCTCAGGAGTGTCAAAACCTGGAGGTAAGAAAGGAAGATCTGATTATACAAAGTAGTTTGCTTTGTTTTACATCAGAGGCATTTTAATTTAGAAATGTGGTTACATACTACTAAAATATTCCTAATTATTTATGTATACTGTATCTTTTTAAAAAATAGATTCTTCTACGTAGAGTTTTAGAACTGGAAGAAACTTTAGAGATATGTAGTCTGACTGATGTTTTGATGAAATGAGGGATATAGAAATTAAATGGCTTGATTTTTACTGTTTCTTAGAGAAGATCTTCATTTTATTCCAATTCAATTCTGAGCATCTAATAATAACTTTTTGGTGATTCATGTAACAGAAATATTATCTCAGTTTTGATATAATGCTTGCTTTATGGACCCCCAAAATATGGGTGAAGCTGTCCGTTTGCTTCTTATGTTTAAACTTTTACCTTTAACTCTAGAATCAGTAGCAGCAGAATGGTATTTCACTCGTATCTTTATCAGAATGGATCAAATGTTTAGCAGTAACATGAATTTGGGCATGATGTGTACAAAAACATTTTTATTCTGTTAACTTTAATCATTATAGGAAATCTTTCCTAACTGAACATGTGCCTTTGACATAGTTTCCAAATCTGACATATTTCTGATGTCATGGCCATAAAGGGAATAAACTGAGATGACAGGTAGCTTATGGAGATAAATGTGGTTGATTTCATGTTTTCCTCATGATTTGGTATCATTATACTTGTGGGTGGAGGGAGAAACCAGGCATTTATCAGAAATTATAACTTTACATGGTACAGTGGAAATGCCCTCCTCTTCTCCTTTCGATAGAGTATAAGTTGAGCATCATTTTAATTACCAGTAATATTAAGCTTAGCACTTACCAATTCAAAAATCTATTAGCATCTGCTAGCTATGTGCTTAACCAAAGATTGTACAAGACAAAAATCTCTGACTCTAAGGAGCTTTCATTCTAATTAAGAGAAGAAATGTAAAAAGTGTTAACAAAAATGTGATTACTACTATGAAAGAAGTAGGTACAGATTTTCTGGGTGATAAGGAAGGGCTTTACAAGAAAAAAAATCCCTGAGCTCAGTCATGAGGGAGGAGTAGGCATTTGCCAAGGGGTTTAGGGCAGGGAGGGCCTTCCAGGCAGAGGCCTGCACTGGCTGAGGCAGGCATCTGAAAGCATGCCCTCAGCGGGGTGTGGCCAGAGTGCAGGCAAGGAGTAAGTGCTAAGCTGTTGGGACCTGATCCTATAAACTAGGGGAAGCTCTTGAAGAATTATAAGGAGGAGGGCTGATGGGATGTATTCTGAAGGATCTCTCTACTAGAGGGTTGGCAGTTGGACAGACAGGGGGATGAGGAGGGAATGGAGGGGCAGATTGGAGGTGGCCTGCGTTAGTTACGGCAGTGGCATGAGTTTGGAGACGTGTTCTGGAGGTAGAGTCGGTACAACTTGTGTGTGCAGGAGGGGCATGCTTCGGGTACAGGGTGCAACTCCTACATCTTTTCAAATGTTGAGGGCCACACTGGTTTCACAGTCAGCCTAAAGTAATTTAGGAGTAAAGTGTGGTGGTGGTTAGAGGAATGATGAGAGGAAATTCCTGGTGCAGACTAGAGTGGATGGGGAGCAAATAAGAAATATTCTCTTGGAGTAGACAAGAAAAATGTCTCATTTGATGTTACTGACTTTTTGCCCAAAGAGACCGTTAGGAACTCGTCGCAAGGAAAATCAAACCCTAAGATCTGTTTTCCGGGTAGTCGTAAGAGTGAGGAAAATAATAGTACTTTGAAGCTGGGCAAATTTATCCCATAAGCATGTTTCTTATCACAGACAGGAATTGAATTGTATATTGAATATATATAAGCTACCTGTATTATTAGCAGCTGTGCTTATTTCTTTTTAAATACATTTTTAGCCCAAACCGGTTTGGCTCAGTGGATAGAGTGTAGCCTGTGGACTGAAGGATCCCAAGTTCGATTCCGGTCAAGGGCATGTATGTTGGTTGTGGGCACATCCCCAGTAGAGAGTGTACAGGAGGCAGCTGATGGATGTTTCTCTCATCGATGTTTCTAACTCTCTATCCTTCTCCCTTCCTCTCTGTAAAAAAACAAATATTTTTTTAAATACATTTTTATTGATTTCAGAGAGGAAGGGAGGGCAAGATAGAAACATCAATGATGAGAATCATTGATTGGTTACATGCCCCCTACTGGGGATCAAGCCCACAACCTGGTCATGAGCCCTGGACAGGAGTCGAACCTGGGACCCTTGAGTCTGCAGGTCAACTCTATCCATTGAGCCAAACTGTCTCAGGCCAACTGTGCTTATTTAAGTCAGTCAAAATACAGTATAGCAATTTTCCATCAATAATAAATTATAAAATAATAGAAGAAAAGGAAGGAAGGAGAAAAAAGGAAAAGGAGAGAGAAATCTGACATAATTTCCTCTTTCAGGAAAGTGATATTTACTCATGTGAAACAGGAAATGATACAAAATACAATAGGATTAAAAGTAAACTTCTACCCTGTTTCCCTGAAAATAAGACAGTGTCTTATATCAATTTTTTCTCCCAAAGTTGCGCTAGGTCTTATTTTCAGGGGATGTCATCTTTCCATGCGCTAGGTCTTATTTTTGGAGGATGTCTTATTTTCGGGGAAACACGGGTATGTGACCAGGCCCAAGTATGGTCCATTAGAAGGTCCTGTGCACCATCAGAAGGAGTGTTAGTACTGCTGTGTTTCCTTATTGGGAAGTACTGTTACTAATGAGAATGCAAATTGGTTAAAAAAAAAAAATTGGAAAGGACTGTGTGTATTCTTTGACCTGGCAATCAGCCATGTGAGATTTTTTTTTAAAGCGAGTTAATTAAAAGTAAAAATAAGAGTCAGACTGAGATCTTACCTCATTCTTGGTGGGTGAGGAGTGTGAGCATAATATAGCAAAGCAATTAACCTTAGGGTCTCTGGAACCAGGTGGCTAGGGTCCTTGCCAAGCACTGAGCAGTGTGCCCTGGGGCAGTTACTTAACCCTTTGTGCCTCCATTTCCTTACCTGCAAATGGCTAAGGACACAGAGGGTTTGAGAAGAGGAATTAAGGTAATGTGTGGGGAGTGCTGAGCTGGGTGCCGGCACACAGAGCAAGTGTCTGAGTGTTCGCTCTCGCTGCTGGAACTGAAGTAGTAATAGCAATGCGTCCTGCACACCAGGTATTGGTTTCAATACTGACAGCAGCTGCTGCGATTCTGCCGAACTGTCTGCTCGCTTGCCCCAACCCCTGCCCCCCAAAGAGGTGTGTCTTGCCTTCATTGATATTGGTTTGCATCCCCCTAAAGAACATTCTTGGTATATCAGAATTGGGACCTGAAAATGAGCCGTGCTTTATACCCTACCCATCTTCACGTTATTTTGTGACCTGTGTTTTAAAGATAGAGAAGCAGAGGCGGATAGAACGGATAAAGCAGAAGCGGGCCCAGCTGCAAGAGCTTCTCCTGCAGGTAAAATGCTGGGATGCCTCTCGTTACCTTCCCTGCCTGTGTCTGCTTCTCTGCCTGCTTTTGTTTCCTACTCTGGGTGCCTCTGAGGGCCTGTCTGGGACCACAGGAGGGCAGCCTCCCACCGGGAGCCCACTGCCATCCCGTGGTCTGCCTCTGAGCGGTCCGCCTCTCACCAGCATCAGGGCCCCACAGCCTCACCTGCCCTGCGGGCGGCATTTTACACAACACTTTGACACTTATCTTTACTCTGAACAGAAACTATTAGGAGTGTGTGTGTGTGTGTGTGTGTGTGTGTGTGTGTGTGTGTGTTTTAGTCCTAATGTGGAATACTAAGAAGTAAAGCTAGTTAAATTTTGGGCACATTGAGTAAAATAATTAAATCCACATGTAATACTCATAATCCACCTGAATAACATGCAATACTTAATAAGCTTTGTAAAAATACCCAACCTTAAAATGCATTTATGTTTAAAAGAAAATTAAAATTTATAGTGTAATAAGGATCTAATTTTTTTGGATAATTGCCTAGAATTTGGATGATTTTAAATATAATAGAGCCTCTGTATGAAGTTATGGGAGGTAAAATCACAGGGTAGATGGACTTTCTACTTTTGATCATTGCAGTTTGTGTAAAAGTTCACCTTGAGCCATACAGTGGAGCTATATTCAATCCAGCCAAAAGCTTGTGAAATGAGTCAGGGAATCTGTATGCCTTTGCTGTTTTTCCTTGCAGCAAAGCAAGCAGGAATCTATTAGCCACAGCAAGCACACACTCAGGACTGGGAGACCTGGAAGGGCGTAGAGAAGCTAGGGGAGAGCCCAGGCTGCTCTGCTTTGGCTCACTGTGAAGTCAGAGAAAAGGGGGCCTCGGGCACAGGTTTACGGGGTCAGCCTGGATGAGCTGCCGCTGCCCATGGTTCCACTGTTTAAAATCTCAGGGGCTCCCTCTGAGTTTAGGAGATACACGTGCCTAAAGGGGAAGGAGGGGGAAAGGAATTGCACTGCTTTATGTCTTTGCTTTTATCTGCAATTTTCTTTCTTTGAAAAGCTTTCAACCAATCCTAAAATCAACTTGGATTTGAACAATTGTAAGTCATTAGATTTTTGGTGAAGTTCACTTTTCAGAAGTAAAGATACCAAGGGGTTACTAGGTTTCCCCCTGAAATAGCCCTTTGTCTGAAGGATAGAATGTTAAGTACTCCTAAATAGTTCAGGTTTTTGTTTTATACTTTCTAGATGCTTATATTTGTTTTTTTCTTCACATCCTCGGAGGGAGAGGGTCAGGAGAAGACCAGTCGCCCTTCCGAAGGTCTGTGCTGTTCTGAGCAGGAAGCAGGGCCGGGGCGGGGGCGTGGCAGCAGGTGGATCAGAGCTTTTCCCAACACAGGGAGCCCGGAGACTGTGTTCTGTGTCCGCTTTTCATGCTGAATGAACCCCAGAGGACCTATCGCTGGAGGAGGCATTTTATGTTTTTCTTATTGGGTGTCCAAATAAGATTTTGTTTGAAGAGACGGTTGCAGCTTTTAAAAAGCTGACGCTGGGTTCCTTTTCCTGCAGCTGCTCCCTGTATCACCCTGCCTTTTTGTAGACCTGGCGGCCGGGCCCTCACGCCTTAGCTCCTGCCCTGCACCTGCTTCCCCTTGCTGTCTCTGGGCTCCTGTCCCCGCAGTTAGCTGCAGGAGTTCCCTCAGCTCCGTGTTGAGCCTGCCTCAGGTTTCCTCAGGAGGGTCATGGGACATTTTGGAGCTGGATTTTCGGAATATGTTCTATTTAAAATCTGTTTCTCAACAGACTTGTCATGTGTTTATCAGAAAGAATGGTGCTAGCCAAGATCACTCTCATTTGTATTTTCTTTAAGTCCTCAATTTTCTCCCCTCTATGCTCTCTCAAACCAAATACTTAAAGATGATTTCAACCCGGAGCACCCTAGCTGTCAACATTTATAAAAGCAGGTCTCTCTATTGAAATGAAACCCAAAGTATAACAGGCAACAGCCACTTCTTGCTCTTTCATATCTTATTTCCTCCTAAGCGTTTTGTTCTTTCCTTCACCAAAAAAACAGGGATGAAGTTGTCTTAGAAAGAAAATTAAGTCCCTGAACAATAATAACTTGCCATGGCCTCCTTAGCTTAGTATTTCTTTTAACAGTGTCACAGCGCACTGCCATCACATGGCACAGGTGAGTTATGCTTGTGTGCCACTGCCACTTTTGCATATCATTGGGCTAGGCCAGTGGTCAGCAAACTCATTAGTCAGCAGAGCCAAATATCAACAGTACAACAATTGAAATTTTTTTTGAGAGCCAAATTTTTTAAACTTAAACTTCTAACGCCACTTCTTCAAAATAGACTCACCCAGGCCATGGTATTTTGTGGAAGAGTCAAAGAGCCGAATGTGGCTCGCCAGCCGCAGTTTGCCGACCACGGGGCTAGACTAAGCGATATATTCAACCCTGAACTCTTGGGCGTCTGTGGTGGCTGAGGGGAAAAGCTCGCTCGGTGTCATTTTCCCTGTCACTCGCTCTGAGGAGAGCTGCAGGTGCCCCTGGTTCAGATTTGTAAGGCCCCATTTCTATGGATAACAGAAACCATGGGCCCCATTACTTAATTACAATGATGGTAGACACTATTTAAATGTAATTTTTACCCTTGAAATATATTTATTGAGTTGGATTATTATAATCTTTTTTTTTTTTTTTTTTTTTACAGAGAGGAAGGGAGAGGGATAGAGGATTAGAAACATTGATCAGTTGCCTCCTGCACACTCCCCACTGGGGATGTGGCTGCAACCAAGGTACATGCCCTTGACCGGAATCGAACCGCAGACTGACACTCTATCCACTGAACCAAACCGGTTTCGGTTATTCTAATTTTTTTTCTTAAGTGTCTGATTCACTATAGGTGGAAGGTTTCTTTAAACTCTCTAATTTTAAACTATAAGTGGATTTTCTTATTCATTTAATTCCAACTCACTTATCCATATTAAATAATTTATATATATATATTTTTTTATTGATCATTACAGCAAATCGCTTTCAAAAACTTGGTACAGAGAAATCGGCAAAATGAACAGCAGAACCAGGGCCCGCCAGCTCTGAACTCCACCATTCAGCTGCCGTTTATCATCATCAACACGAGCAGGAAAACGGTCATAGACTGCAGCATCTCTAGTGACAAGTGAGTACAGAATGGGGACAGGTTGCTGGCCGGCCTTCTCTTCACACATTCCTGTCATTTGCCAACATAAGGGTGTACTCCATTCTGAGACCTCCAAGGCTGCCTCCTTGGGGCGTGTGAAGTACCTGTTCCTACATGGAGTGCTGTCAGCTTCTGGCCTGTGCTCCATCACTCGCCCTCCACAGCCCCCCAGTCACGTGACCAGCCCTCTGCTGCCTGTTAGCGCAGGGTGGTGTCTGGACCCAGACCAGGATGTGCACGTATGTACATGCATGTGGTGTAATTGGGCAAGAACTGCGGTGAGGTCCTAACTGGTTTGCTCAGTGGATAGAGTGTTGGCCTGCAGACTGAGGGGTCCCAGGTTCAATTCGGATCAAGGGCATGTACCTTGGTTGCAGGCACATGCAGTAGGGAGTGTGCAGGAGGTAGCTGATGGATGTTTTTATCTCTTTCCCTTCCTCTCTGTAAAAAAAACAAAAACTGCAGTGAGGGTCTGACGGAGGTAGGCTTGCTGGTGATTCACTGTCCTAGTTTATTGTGGAAATATTTTAGATCAACATGTGGCACAAAAGCAGTTACCTCTTTTACTCTACCACAGTCTACTAATGGATGAATAGACATGAAAACGCTAGGTGCAATCTCTGCTTTTTTTAAAAAAAAAATCTTATAATTAAAAGTTAATACTTTTGACCACCTTCATGTATTTCGCCCAACTCCCTCCTCCCCATCTCTGGCAACCACCAATCTATTCTCTCTGAGTTCAGTTTTTTAGGTTCCACATTAAATGAGATCATTCAGTATCTGTCTTTCTCTGAATTATTTTAGTTAGCATAATGCCCTCAAGGTCCATCCATGTTGTACAAATGGCAGAGTTTCCTTCTTTTTTATGACTGAATATTTTATTATATATATACATTTTCTTTGTCCATTCATCCATCAATACAGAATTCATGTGTAATTTATTTTACCCTTCATGAAAATAGTTAATTCATTGTTCTTCAGGCTGTGACCAGTATTGTGAGACAGTTGAGGCATGGGGTGCAGAGTGAGACAGACCCAGGTGTGGAAGATGGTTCTCCTGTTTAACTGCTCCAGAGCTCTGTTTTCTGGAAAACAAGTGGGGGTGATACCAGGGCCTTCCAGCCCTGTGGTGAGGATTAAATGAGATAATGCCTATAAAGGCTTGGACTCAAAGCAAGCAATTAAAAAATGTAAAATGCTTTTATAAAGGAATTGCAGGAAATCTGGGAGTCATTGCCCTAAGGGCTTTATGGCTTCTGTTCCTCCCTGGCTGGGTCTAGTAAGGGTTCCATTCCTGGGTGGTGTGTGACTCATGCTCTTCCCCTGGACGGAAGGAGACTAGAAGCTTGCAGCAGTTTGTTCAGGTAGGTCCTACCGCCTTTCTTTCACTCACTCTGGTGATGCAATCTTTTCCCCTTACTTAGCCAGGCAGCTCATTAAATTGTCCAAACTAGCACTGGCTGGTGGTGGTAGAGCAACAGCCTGTGCACTGAAGGGTCTCAGGTTCAATTCCGGGTCCAGGGCACATACCTGGGTTGTGGGTTCCTGTGCCCCCACACCTCCCATTAGGGCTCATTCAAGAGGCAACCAATCCATGTGTCTCTTACATTGATGTTTTTCTCTCTCCCCTTTCCTCTGTCTCATGAAAAGCAATGGAAAAAAATATACTCTGGTAAGGATTTAAAAAAAGGAAAGTATTGAGTATTGTATTTCTGCCCTAGCCAGTTCGGCTCAGTGGAGAGTGTCGGCCTGCAGACTGAAGGGTCCCAGGTTCCATTCTGGCCAAGGGCACATGCCTGGGTTGCAGGCTCAACCTCCAGTAGGGGGCGTGCAGGAGGCAGCCTATCAATGATTCTCTCTCTTCATTGATGTTTCTGTCCCTCTCCCTTCCTCTCTAAAATCAATAAAATTATTTTTTTAAAAACCAACAGTATTGGATTTAGACCAGAATTTCTGCCTTCAGTTTGCAATAGCTTTAATGAGGGCTAAAGTTTATGGACCTCTTTTGTCTGTTGCATGGAAGCTATTTTAATTGGGAAAGTGATGTATTTGAGATGTCATCTCCTGAATACAGCAGAATGACCCTTCTTGATGTAAACATCGATAATTTCTAGTACTATGGCTGAACTTTCCCTCTTTAAAAAATATATATAGCCTAAACTGGTTTGGCTCAATGGATAGAGCGTTGGCTTGGGGACTGAAGGGACCTGGATTCGATTCCGGTCAAGGGCATGTACCTTGATTGCGGGCATATCCCCAGTAGGGGGTGTGCAAGAGGCAGCCCATCGATGTTTCTAGCTCTCTCTCCCTTCCTCTCTGTACAAAATCAATAAAAATTAAAAAAATAAAAATAAAAAATATATATTTTATTGATTTTTTTACAGAGAGGAAGGGAGAGTAAGAAACATTGATGAGAGAAAAACATCGATCAGCTGCCTCCTGCATACTCCCTGCTGGAGTACATGCCCTTGACTGGGATCGAAACTGGGACCCACAGAGTATAAAACTCTCCAGACCTCCCCAACACCGTGGAAGCCCCTTACCAACTTTGTTTCCCGTGCAGGTTTGAATATCTTTTCAATTTTGACAACACCTTTGAGATCCACGATGACATTGAAGTACTGAAGCGGATGGGAATGTCCTTTGGTCTGGAGTCAGGCAAATGTTCTCTGGAGGATCTGAAACGTGCTAAGTCACTGGTGCCAAAGGCGTTAGAAGGTTATATCACAGGTATGTTAACGGATGCTTTTACATGTTGTCTCTGATTAAGTATGTCAAACCCCAACAAGTTAAAACCTTTCTTCTTTTCTCATAGAAAATTAGTTCAAGTACATTGTATGCTCTCCCTTGATTTTGAACCCTTTCCTACTTGAACCTTTTGAGGAACTGCCATACTATTTTCCAAAGCAGTTGTACCAGCCATGTAGGAGTTTGTTTTCCACCTCCTTCTACACCTTGTTGTCCCTTTTTTATTATAGCTGTCCTAATAGATGTGGTATCTCACTGAGGATTTGCATTTCCCCAGTGACTAATGATGCGAACATCTTTTCACATGCTTATTGGCCATTCGTAAATCTTCCTTGGAGAATGTCTATTCAGATTCTTCGCTGTTTTTTTAAATTGGGTTCTTTGTCATTTTTATTACGAATTAGAAAAGTACACTTGAATACACTAACAACCACTGTTTTGCATGTCATATAATTCAGATTTGTTTCACTAATTCCAACATCTCTTCCTAAGACTCTGCACTGAGAATGGATGTAGCAAACAGTGCTTCTGCTTTGTGCCGTTCCTTCAGTATAAGTCTTACCTCCTAGATTGCACGTCAGTTTTTAAAGGCATTTTAATAAGTTCTAAGGTATATTAAATCAGATATAAGCAAAGTAATAGAATGAGACTTTTTCCTTTGGGTTTAGTTCTTAAATTGGCATCACCCTCTCCTGCAAATGGGACCCCATCTTATTGCCCCTCAGCCGGTATCTCCCCCATTCCTGCCCGTTCCCCCTGCTCTTTTATTGGCAGCCCCGCAGCGGCTAAGGAAGGGCTTTTCAGTAACTCACCACCACGTTACTTAGTCCATTCTCACTGTAAAAGCTCGGGCGGGCGATTCAGCAGGCTCTCTGGCTTTTCTCTCTCCATGACCTCATTGGCAGCCTGGGACACAGACTTTCTGGTTAGTTCAAAGGAACAAATGTGTGCCTCGGTGCAAAGGACAGAGGGCTCATGAGCACAATGGCGAGAACCACTGTGTGGTGTCCAGGGTAATGAGAATGAAACCCAGGCTTTCCAAGCTGTTGCACCAAGAAAGTGCGATGTGTTATGCAACCAGCTGAGCTCTGACAAAGTTTCCTCGTTGGCTAATCGCCAGTTACTGTTTGGATCAGGATTCTGGCTTTAATGTTGCCGTGTGCAGACTTGTTATTTAATGTATCAAGTCTGCTGTTCTAGAGCTGACGGTCTTTTCCCACAGCTGCCTTGTCGGCCTGTGAGAAACCTCCTAAAATCCGTGTAGAGGCTTCGTTTACTTTTCCTCCGGAGATGCCTCTCGCTTGCCTGACAGTGTCCAATCACACATAGCTTTCTGTGTTTTGCTCAGGAATTATAAAATTGTTTTGATTAAACATAATAAGCGCTCATTTTGGTAAATTACATTTTTCTGAGTGTACATTTGATCTTGTAATTCTAAGAATTTATTTTTAATAAGTACATCGCCTTCTTTGTAAACTCACTATTGAAGAGAATGTACTTATTCAGTTCATTAACATTTAGATCTTATATGTCCTGTCACTGCCTTCTCTGAGCTGACACTCTAGATAAGGAGATAACATTGAACTAGTGGAATTACAGTGAAAACTGGTCAAGGTTATGATAGATAGAAGGAATACGATGTATGTATAGAAAACAGCGTGAAAGGACAGACCTAACATCTGTGCAGAATGAAAAAGTGGTGTCTGTCTCACCCTCACTGAAAGCATGACTGCTCGTGGCCTTTTAAAGAAGAGCTGGTTTGAGTTACAAGCAAACGGGACCAGGAGAAAGAATAGGTCTTGGATGATAGTACCGTGTTTCCCCGAAAATAAGACCTAGAGCGTGGAAAGATAAGACATCCCCTGAAAATAAGACCTAGCGCAACTTTGGGGGGAAAAATTAATATAAGACACTGTCTCATTTTCGGGGAAACAGGGTAGCACCGAGTTCACCAGGGGGCACTTGAACAGATAGATTCAGTGAGGGTTTTGGCAAAATGTGTCTGTCCTTCCTGCCTCCGATGTTTCCGACTTGCCTTTCTCTGCCCACTGCTGGCTTTGGCTGTTACCACCACCGGAAGGGTCTCAAGTCTTCCATCGCGAGGACACAGGTGGCCACAGTAGTCCAGTGGCTGCTGCCTCTTGGTCTTAAGAGAACGAGAGCCCAGTTGGTTTAGTTTGAATTCTGTCTCACTACGCCTTCCTGTCGTGTCCCCGCCCCCCTATGATTTAGAAATGTCTTTTCTCAGCTGCAGAAGCCTGGCTTCTCCCAGGGCAGGAGGCTGGTGTGGCCGAGAACAGGCTGATGCCCTCACTCGTCCGCTTTCTTCCCACGGGAGCAGCAGCTGCAGGCCTGCGGGACCCACCCTCCTGTGTTTTCCCCCTTAGATATCTCCACGGGACCGTCATGGTTAAATCAGGGACTGCTTTTGAACTCTACCCAGTCAGCTTCCAGTTTAGACCTGACCACTGGTGCCACCTTGTCCCAGTCCAGGTACGTATGACTCGGGGTTCAGGAAGCCAGCACGGAGCCCGGCCCCTCCGGGGGGAGGCACAGGTCCCTGCCCGGCTCCGGCGGCACCTCCCCCCGCTCCATTCCCACGTGCAAAGAAGCGGGAAGCCTTCGCCACATTAACGAGCTGTGTGTTTGGATTGTTTGCTAGCGTGAACCCGGGCTTCTGCTTGGATGCTGAAGTGGCCTTAGCAACGGGGCAGCTCCTCGCCCCGAACAGTCACCAGTCCAGCAGTGCGGCCTCCCACGGCTCCGAGTCCCGCGGGGAGACGCCCTGCTCGCTCAACGAGGACGACGAGGAGGACGAGGAGGACTCCTCCTCCTCCCCAGAATAAAGACAGGGCGACCCACACTCTCCTACCGATGCTCATGTGTGTTCTTAGTGTGAGCTCTTGTTTTTGAAACGATTGCTTCAGCCCTTGCTTCTGTTCGCACTGTGTGTCCGGTGGGAACTAGGGAAACAACCCGCGGATCACACGCAGGCTGACACGCGTGAGGTGAACGTTGCCGGGTGCGGACGAGAACGACGGTAGGGTAGTAGGTCAGCCCTCAGCGCGAGCTTTCTGAGGGGCCAGGGGGACTGTCCTGGGAGAGCCGGGCCGCATGACCAAAGCTCATTTCCCTCCCGCAGGTGGGATCTGCCCCCCCCCATACTCCCCCTTAGGACCAGGATTGCTCAGTGGCCAGATCTCCTGCATCTCTCCATGGGAGGCACGGACAGGGGGCCGCACTGCTGAGCCAGCTGAAAGCCTAGTTGAGGTGCTTCACGCACCAGCTGCCTTAGACAGCTTCTAGAAAGGAGCGCGCTAACTCTTACGTCCCTAAGTGACATTTAGAGTAATTTATAGGGAAGTGGAAGTGATCACTCTTAGCCAATGCATTTGGTGCCTAGAACCTTTAGGGCTACTTCTGGGGGCCACGGTAGAATAGCCTTCCCATGCATCACACTCCGCCAGCACTGCCTCCGCCAGCACTCTCATCGCCGCCTCACAGGGAAGAGTGGCATTTTAATCAGTGGCCACGCCTTCCCCCCCAGCGCTTTCATTGGAAACTGAGGAGCACAGCCCTCCGGCCAGGCGGCTTGCTCACCGTTCCCTGCAGCAGTCCTGTGAGTTCCCCCGTGTGCGTCTGTGGAAATGAACCAAGTGTCATTTCCCGAACACGAAAGCACCGTTTTCCTGTCCACGTCACCTTTTCTACATTTTCGTTCATCAGAATGGCCTTACCGAGTTCTTCCTGGGTAAACCGTTTTCACACTCACCGGATGCCGCCTTCTGAGAAGTGGCGAGCGCTGAGTGGCTGGGTTCTGGCCGGGCGGTAGCTGTGTTTTGTAGCCAGAGATGCCGCAGGACCGCTGTGCTGGCGCATCCAGCCCTGCTCCTCCGAACAGGAGCGCGAGACCCCAGCCTGGCCTGGAAAAGAGCAAACAACGAGAGAAAATTCACTCCACAGCTTTGCCCTGGCCGTTCGGATTTGCCCCTGGATTATGCATCGAGCACCTCTGGGCTCCGCCCAGGCCAGACCTTTTCTCACCCCTGAGGGGCAGGCTGAGTGCAGGTGCCTCCTGCTGCCTCCCACAGCGCTGCCCTGTGCTCACTGAGCAGGTGGAGACCTGGCCGGCCTGGAGCTGGTTAGGCCATAGAAGCGAACACACAAAAACATACAACTCGAACTTAAGTTTCTCTCAGACAAACCTCATTCTGTCAGAAATAAGCTGGAGTGCATACGCAGAGTGCAGAGATAGAGGCAGTGTTAGAGAATTCAGCCTCAGCCCAAGTTCCAGGCACGTCTCAGCTGGGCAGAGTGGGGAGGTGCCCGGAGCAGCCAGGTCCCCACGGCCTCCAGAAAGCACTGACCAGGAGGCGCCTGATGTTCCAATCACTATTTCTAACGGCTTTTTCCACTTTGATTTCTATTCGACATTGTGCCTAAGCGTGGAGTTCACCAGGCTCCCTCCCCGTGGTCCCTAAAGAGGACACCGCCTCCTCCAGCAGCCCCTCCCTTTCTCCTCTCTGTGTGGGAGGGGCCCCGCTGGGACCTGGAGAGACCCAGGGCCACAGCTAGCTTTTCAGTCCTCAGAGTACTGACCTGTACGTCTGCATTCATGGCAGCCCATCAGCCGTAGTCTGGTCTCTACTAAATAGCAAAATCCTCTCTCTCCTGCTGCTACAGTGCTTCAAATGGATAAAATATGGGTTTAAAAGCAAAAGCAACCAAAGACTCACTACGCTTGGTGCCCCATCCTTGGCCGTCCAGCCGTAGGTGTGGCTTTTGGCCGGAAATGGTCCCGGTCCTCGGTACCTGGGTCACTGCTGAGGACATCTAACAGCCCTCCCGAGGGCATCAGTACAGGCTGGTGCACAGCCCTCCCTGGCAGAAGCTAGGCCGAGATAAATCCTGTTTCACTCCATAAATACCCTAACACGTTATCCTGGTCTAGAACTCCACGCTTAGGCACAATGTCGAATAGAAATCAAAGTGGAAAAAGCCGTTAGAAATAGTGATTGGAACATCAGGCGCCTTTCTGGGAGCTGCACCCGGGAGGACAGCTCTGCCAGGGGCGGCCCTCTGATTCGGGGAGTTTAATTGGCCTTTCCCTCGGGGGTCCATTTACTGTTACCCTTTCAGGTGTGTAGCATCGGTTTGCTCATTCTTGCTCCAGGATCACTGTGGGCTCCTGGCTGGCCTGGGACCTTAAGTTGTGGGAAGGGCAGGGCGTAAGGCCCCTGGTGCCTGCCCAGGCTCCCCTCCCCTCCCCCACTGTGCATCCAATCACCTTCAGGAAGACAGACGCAAACTGTGCCTTAGGATCGCGGAGGCCTCAGTGAGCTAACGGTGACCTCTCACCTCAACAAGCCCACCAGTGGCCCCTGGAAAACTTGACATAATGACCATGTGTTTCGTTTCCTTCAACTTAACTGTGGAAGCTGCGGGGTGAAACGGTGTTTTCCTCCATTTAACAGGATAAAAGGGTAACTCCCCTCAGCCAACTGTCCTCTGCTGAACTGGAAATGATGCCAGCTCAGCCCGTCCGATCCGTCAGGGAGGCACTCGGAGGAGGGCTCAGGTCAGCCGGCAGACCGTCACAGCTCTTTGCTAAACCACAGGTCTCGGCCACTGGGGTCCTGAGGCCACCAAGCTGCTTCAAGCACAGTTGGGACAGGCGCCTGGGGCAGGCAGAACACAGCAGGCACCGGCTGTGCACGGGGCAAGGCCAGCAAAGGAAGGAACGGCCTCGGCCGCCTGCCATAGCCACACAGCACCCTGCTGGGCTTCACCAGTAATTCCCCTCAAGGGCCTTTCCTACCTGTTCGCTCCCCTCAGGCATAGGAAAGCCGTGTCCCAACCCCAGCATTCTGAGAGGTGGACATTGAGATGCTGCCTTAGCAGTGACTGTAAAGATTTAACCCTTCAGTAAGCATTTGAGCTCACTGAACAGAAAGCATCCAGGCCGGTTAGTGCTGTGGAAAAGAAAGGGCAATGGGACCTGGGGGAAGGCTGCTTTAGTAGGGGGTGGCCATTGGTCCTGAGTCAGACTGCTGAGGCAGGCTTCTCCGTGCCTTCGCCCCATGACACACCGTCCCATAACATGCGCCTGGAGTCCACTGAATTCCAGCGGCCACACCGCTCCAGTTCTAAGCTTACATTTTGTTGTTTTACTGATTTTAGAGGCAGGAGAGGGAGAGAGCAAGAGAAACACTAATGAGACACAAGCATCACATTGATGGGCTGCCTCCTGTGTGCCCCCTACTGGGGAACAAGCCCACAACCCCCCGAGCATATGTTCCGACCGGGAATCAAACCAGTGACCTCCGTTCACGGGCCTAGGCTCCCCCCTGAGCCACATCAGCAGGCATACGCATCCACCCTGGAGTCTGTTAAATAATTGCTGGTATATAAAAGAAAACTCAAACTTACCTACCAGCAGTACCCATGAACCAAGAGAAGATCCTAACCCATGAAGTTCTCATTAGCTTTTACCGTCCAGCTGAAAGGTGGAAAAGTAACTGCTTTTCTGGGTGTTTCTTCTAGTTTTACAAATTGTTGGGTACATAAAAGCTTTTTAGATTGGACATATAAAAGGTCATCTTTTTTCTGCATCTACACTGGCATTGGTGGAGCCAAAGACTATGTAAGAACCACTTTCCCAAACAGGTTCCTCACTTGCATGTGCCCACGGCGCTGACGACCATATCGAAGGCCCACAGCGGGGGCCAGGGGCCTGCGCCATGCGTGTGAGGGACCCTCAGAAATGTGCCTGTTTCTTTAAATTCCACTCAAAAGGAAAACAAGTCTGATATTTGCTTAAAAATTTACCTTTAAAAAGTTGAGTTAAGTATTCACACAAATTGTAATGTTTCTCAGGAAATAGCCCCTTTCCACAACCTAGACAGCTCTAGAAAGGGATGCTTAGATCACCTTTGGGATCCAGTTTCCCACAGACCTCTCCACGCACACAGGGCTAAGGAAGAAAAAGTGGGGGACACACACTGACCAGCACAGAAGTGTGACAGATGTCCGTCCAGGCACGTGGTGTCGAGGCAGTGTGTTCTGTGCTGTATTCTCTCGGGCGAGGTAGCTTGTCTCGTCCTCCCATGGCCTTTGCTTTACGAAGGCCCATATGCTGCTCCAGCAGGCCGGACCGGGCCCGCCTCGCCCACAGTTGCGTTGGGAGTTGATGTGGCTGAGACGGGACAGGACACCCCTTCACCAAGGGCCTCCGAACAGGAGAGAACCTCTCTCCGCCAGCTCAGTAAGACATCGCTTGTCTACCACCCCTCAGGCCGTGTGCCGAGTCTGTGCCAACCAGAATGCCTCCCTCCGGGAGGACCACATGGCCTGGAAACCTGGCCCTCCCCGCGGTCCTCCCTCCCGGGGGCCTGGGTTAGCACCAGTCCTGTCACACCACGCACTGCACAGCCAGGAGGGGGAGAGGGCCTTTGCCCGGGAGGCTGTGGGGTCAGCTTTGGGCCTCTCGGCTCAGAAGACCCAGCTCTGGACACGTCTGGGAAGAAATGCGTCCATGGGCAAAGACTGGCACACACACAGCCCTGCGGGAAAGGGGCTTGAGGGGAAGTTACCCACCACCCTTCTCTGCCACATCAGCTTGTTTCCGTTTATCCCAACACTACAAGGATGCACTTCCCCAGATGGTGCTTGGGTGTCGCCACCAATTCTTTTGTCCCCGTGTGTCATCTTCATGTGTCAGGCATCATCGGATGGCAAATGGCCTGGTTTTCTAGTTCATGACCAAAGTCAGATTTTTTTTTTCTTACTAAAGGTCTCCGAGGACCCAGACACTTTTCTGCTAAAAACAAAACAAAAACAAAAACAAAAACACCTTCTGAGCCGTTGCCTCTCTTTCTCCATTAGTACATGGCAGTCCCAACCCTCCAGTGTCCTGTAAAGGACCTTCCAACCAGCCACGCCCTGGCCGCTCAGGAGCCCGAGCTTGGGGCACAGTTCAATACGGAGGTCCTCGAGCTGGTTTGTTTACCACCGTCACATTTGACTTGCAGGTGAAAAAGAAAAAGGCTGTGAGCCCCAATCACCCACTTGTTCACCTTTCATTTGGAGATACTGTACTCTGATCATGTGCTCCAGAAAATAGAGATCTGTGTTTTTTTATTTTATTTTTTTTTTCTGCATGAAGGAAACATCATGGTGCCACATGCTCTAAGCAGTTTAACAAAGCGAAACAAGGGGGACATGCACACACCACATCTGACTTGCCTGATGCAGACTTTCTTAGATTGGAGTACCTAACCTGATAACGATGTATTATTTTGTAGCATCTCAAACTTTGTAAATAAATACCGTTATTTTTATATGGAAATTTTATAGAAGAGCTATTTCTGTATACGTAATTACTCCTGGATTTTCTGAAATTGCTTCTGGTAGATAACAGACGAGTCCTAAGCAGTGTTCCTTAAAGATGGTTCAAGGACCACCCGCAGGAGAAGTGACAGGGTTGGGGTGGGCGTTAAAATGTTGCATTCCCCGTCCCACCCCAGACACTCAAGACGCTCTGGACTGAGGCTTGGTAAGCTATACCTTTAATAAACTCCAAGTGATGTTTTTGTCCATTAAGTGTGAGTGTCTTTGTCCGTCCTGTAAGGTTAAAAGAAGGAAAAAGAAAAAGCATCTGAAATGAAGGTCATTTGTTCTTGAAAGGAAAAATATGTATCAGACTGTTGTATGATTTGAATGAGATGCACTATAGAAAAAATAAATATTTAAAATAACATTGGCCTCATTATTGGTGGATGGGGGGGGTCAGTGGATATTGTGGTCCATTGCCCAGCTCCCCTACATTCAGACCGAGATACTCCCCAATTGCTGAGAACCTCCCCCAGGGATTGCAGCCAGTGAGGGGTATAAAGCCAAGACTTTTTGCCCCAACTCAGGGTATCTGAAGGGTCACCCCAACTTCAGAGTTACTCATGGAATAACTGCGGTTTCTCTGGCAACTGTATCATGTTTCAGCTTCCTGCTCTGCCCCATCCTGCTTCCCTCACTACTTTATAGTACATGGACACCACCTATGACGGAAATACTCAGACATCTAAACGGTTTTCTACATCTACTCAAAAAGACATGCACTCCTGCCCAGCAGGTGTTGCTCAGTGGTTGAGCATCGACCTGAACCAGGTCACAGTTCAAATCCCAGTCAGGACACATCCCTGGGTTTTGAGCTCACTCCCCAGTAGGGGGCAGGCAGGAAGCAGCTGGTCAATTATTCTTTCTCATCATGGGTGTTTCTATCGCTCCTACTTTCCTCTCTGAAATCAATAAAAATAAATATATATGTACTTATATCCTACCTAATAAAAGTAATATGCAAATTAACCATCACTCCATTCCACAAAACCACTCCCACTAGCCAATCAGAGCAAGTATGCAAATAAACCCAACCAAGATGGCTACAGCCACAGAGAGTAGGAGGGAGGTGTTTCCCTGGCAACAGAGGAAGCCAAGCTTTCTGCCTGCCTTTGCCGGCTACTATAAAGTTTCAATTGTACAAAGTAAATATATCCCAGATACCAGGGCCTCCGCTTGAGTGGCTGGGGGATGTGGCTGGCCTGCAAACCACCACAGGCCCCTCACTCAGACTGCCCCAAACCCCAAGGGAACACCCACTCTGATCCAGCACCCTTCAGAGCAAACCAGCTGGCCCCCACCTGTGCACCAGGCCTCTATCCTATCTAATAAAAGAGTAATATGCAGATTGACCATCACTTCAACACACAATATGGCTGCCCCCATGTGGTCAAAGATCCTGCCCCTATGTGGCCACAAGATGGCCAGCAGGGGAGGGCAGATGGGAGGGAGCAGGCCTGCAAGGGAGGTCAGTTGTGGGTGATTAGGCAAGTAGGGGAGGGCAGTTGGGAGGCACTAGGCCTACAAGGGGGGCAATTGAGAGGGACCAGGCCTGCAAGGGAGGGCAGTTGGGGGTGATCAACCCTGCAGGGGAGGGCAGTTGGGGGTGACCAGGCTGGCAGAGAAGGGAAGTTGGGGGCAAACAGGTTGGCAGGTGAGCAGTTAGACATCAATCAGGCTGACATGGGAGTGGTTAGGGGGTGATCAGGCTGGCAGGTAAAAGTGGTTAGGGGCAATCAGGAAGGCAGGCAGGTGAGCAGTTGGGAGCCAGCAGTCCTAGATTGTGAGAGAGATGTGCCTGGAGGGGTCCCAGATTGGAGAGGGTGCAGGCTGGGCTGAGGAACAACCCTCCTCCCTGTCCCCATGCACAAATTTTGTGCATCAGGCTTCTAAAAAAAAAATAAAATATATATATATATATATATATATATATATATATATATATATATATATATATATATATATATTTTTTAAAGACATGCAAGTAGCCCTAAACAGTTTTGCTCAGTGGTTAGAGTACCCACCTGCAGACTAAAGGGTCCCAGGTTCAATTCTGGTCAAGGGCATGTACCTTGGTTGCAAGCACATACCCAGTAGGGAGTGTACAGGAGGCAGCTGATCAATGTTTCTCTCTCATCGATGTTTCTAACTCTCTATCCTTCTCCCTTCCTCTCTGTAAAAAATCATTAAAATATATTAAAAAAAAAAAAAAAAAAAAAAAAAGACACGCAAGTGGTTAGAGTACCATCCAGACACACCAAGTTTTCCGGTGAAATGCCTAGTCAGGGCATATACAAAAATCAACCAGTGAATGCATAAATAACTGGAACAGCAAGTCAATGTTTCTCTTTCTCTCCCTCTACCTTCCTTTTTCATATATATATATATATATATATATATATATATATATATATATATCCCTGAGATTAAAAATTGTGGCAGAGTAAGTGGATGCCACATAGACATGCTTCCCATGACCAAACTGGAATTACAACTAAAATACAAAAAAAATTCCAGAACAGTCAACTGAAGACTATCTGGAGAGAACCCTGATAATAAGGACCAAAAGTGGAGACGGCATAGAGACTGGCAGGAAGGGCAGAGGTGCAAAAGGGCTGGACAGGCTCACAGACAGCAGCTGAAGTTCCAGAGAGATATCTCAGCTGTGGGGGGTTGCCACTGAGAACTCTGGGTCTAATTCTCAAGCTGGGTCTCCCAGCAGAAAGCACCAGAACTGAGAAAGTTGTCCACATAACATCTGGCTGTCAAAAGCAGCAGGCTTACTGTCTCTCTGGGAAAGAGCTGGAAATGCAGGCACCCTCTTAGAAGGCCAATGCACAAAATTCCATGGGCAGCCACCCACCTTATGCTTGGGCAGAGGGAGGGCAGAGTGGACTGGAGCTCTGTGAGCAGAAGCCAGGGCTGGGGGCTCTGGGGTAAAAGTGCAAAAAGCAGATACGAAGAAACCAAGATAGCGACATACGTGAACAACTGCTCTGCCGCCTCACACAACAATTTCAAAACTACAACTAATATACAGGACATCTATCACCCAAAAGCTCGGGAAAGCTGGCTGAGAGAGAAAGGAGCCTAGGTACGGAGGCACGCGAATCGGGCTGGTGGCGGGCAACTGGGCGAGAGGCTCTTTTTTCAGCCGGAAGGGAAACAAGCTCCCCATCACTGAAATCCAGTTTCTGGGGTCACACAGGAGACCCAGACGCCAACAGGGAGAAGCTGGTCTGTCGGCCATCGGGTCCGAAAGTGAGGGTGACTCTTGCAGAGGTGCGCCCAGCAATCATTGTTTAATGCACTGGGTCACAGGGATGCGGGGGCTTGAAAATGCAAGGATTTGGAAACACAGAAGGGCAGAGCAGGCTGAAGGCAGCCATCGCTGTTTGCCACGCCCCAGCTGGGGATGTCCTGAGATCCTGCCCCACCCTGAGGACCCGCCCCGAGGCTCCACCCCACATATTCTACAGACCCACCCAGGCACCACACAGATACTTTTGCATATAAATGGCCCGGATTGTGGCAGCTTAATGAAATAAATTGCAGCTCCAGCAACAAAACCGCCAAGTCCCAAGCAAAGAGGATAAAACTGTAGCTCTTATGGTAGCTCCTGCTGGGTGGCCTCAGACGGTGGCTGAACTGCACCCTATTGGAGATCCAGAAACCAGTGTATCTAGTGGTTGGTGTGAGATGACACCAGATCTCAACTACTCTTATAAGGGACACGTTCAAGAGGCAGACTCAATGAGCACCAAAGCCCTCTGGGAACAAGTCCTCCCTCATAAACGTGTCTCCAGCACAGCAATTTTTCCATTATAGACACAGCGGGTCCCCACAGCCAATTGGCCTGGAGGTCAATTCCTCTCAGTGACACTAACAACAATCAAGACTTAACTACAACAAGGCTGTACACACAGTCCACAAAGGGGAGCACCAAGAGTGTCCATATCAGGCAACTGTGAGGCTGACCCACTGAACCATATAGAATACCCAGACCCACAAAGCAACCCTACCAACTCAGGGAAACAGCGAAAATGCCAAGGAAAGGAAACAGATCCCAATCAAAAGAAATGGAGGAGAACAAAAGACTGGATATAGAGTTCAAAACCACGGTTATAGGTTTTTCAAGAATTTCCTAGAAAAGGCTGATAAATTTAACGAGACCCTCGAGGATATGAAAAAGGACCAACTAGAAATTAAACATACACTGACTGAAATAAAAAATATTATACAGAGACCCAACAGCAGACTAGAAGAACTCAAGAAACAAGTCAAAAAGCTGGAATATAAGAGGAAAGGGGCACTCCTCCGCAGAAGCAAGAAGAGAAGAGAATCCAGAAAGCTGAAGATAGTGTAAGAAGCCTTTGGGACAATTTCAAGTGTACCAACATCAGAATTATGGGGGTGCCAGAAGAAGAGAGAGAGCAAGACACTGAAAACCTATTTGAAGAAATAATGACAGAAAACTTCCCCCATCTGGTGAAAGAAATAGACTTACAAGTCCAGGAAGCGCACCGAACCCCAAACAAGAGGAATCCAAAGAGGACCACACCAAGACACATCATAATTAAAATGCCAAGAGCAAAAGACAAAGAGAGAATCTTACAAGCAGCAAGAGAAAAACAGTTAGTTACCTACAAGGGAGCATCCATATGACAATCAGCTGATTTCTCTACAGAACCCATGCAGGCCAGACAGGAATGGCAAGAAATATTCCAAGTGATGAATAGCAAGAACCTACAACCAAGATTACTCTACCCAGCAAAGATATCATTCAGAATTGAAGGGCAGATAAAAAGCTTCACAGATCAGAAAAAGCTAAAGAGTTCATCACCACCAAACCAGTATTATATGAAATGCTAAAAGGTGTTCTTTAAAAAGAGGAAAAAGAAGAAAAAAGTAAAGACGAAAATTATAAACAACAAATACATATCTATCAACAAGTGAGTCTAAAAGTCAAGTGAATTAAAAATCTGAGGAACAGAATAAACTGGTGAATATAATAGAATCAGGGGCATAGACACTAAAAAATAATACAAAAAAATCAATGAAGCTGGTTCTGTGAAACCTATTACCCACACTCATGAGCTATTAGCCTCCAGACAAAACTGATGAGCTATTACCCACACTCATCAAGGAACAGAGAGGACCGAAATAAGTGAAACTGAAACAAAAGCAGAGAACTAACCATCGACACCACAGAAATACTATGAACAGCTATATGCCAACAAGCTGGACAATGTGGATAAAATGGACAAATTCCTAGAATACAATCTCACAAAACTGAATAAGGAATAATAATAATAATAATAATAATAAACCTGAACAAGCCAATAACAACTGAGGAAGTAGAAGC